CAGCCACAGATAGGCGTTCGACATCTGGGTATTTTATGTTTGTGGGTGGCAATCTTGTTACGTGGAGGAGCAAGAAACAAAAGGTGGTGTCTAGATCTAGTGCTGAGGCCGAGTATCGGGGAATGGCCCATGGTGTATCTGAGTTACTATGGTTGAGGAGATTGTTGAAAGACCTTGGTTTTGGGCCTAAAAAACCCATGGATTTATATTGTGACAATACGGCTGCGATTGCAATTGCTCATAATCCTGTACAACATGACCGTACAAAGCATGTGGAGGTTGATCGAAATTTCATTAAAGAAAAGTTGGATGCGGAGATTGTGTCCTTCCCCTTCATCCGTTCAGAGTATCAGTTAGCTGATGTTCTTACGAAAGCTGTTTCTACAAGTATCTTCCTCAACTCGCTTGACAAGTTGGGCATGCGTGACGTCTTTGCTCCAACTTGAGGGGGAGTGTTAGCGAGATATCCCTATTCTATTAGGATATTGTTTTATTTATTTCTCTTTGTATAGATATTATATAATTAGGATACCACTTATTTTCCTAGTTTAATCCTACTAGGGTTTACATCCTGTATTATAAATACCTCCTTTTGGAGAATGAAATATATCTGAAAATATTCTACCTATATTGTTTGACTACCCAATTGAACCTTCCGAAAAATCATAAACCATCAACTATGGCTCAGTGAAACCAAATGGAGATTTGTGACTTCGAAGGAGATAGAGATCTGTGAATTCAAAGGGGAATAAGAGAGAGAAAATGAGGGGGAATTAGAGAAAGGTTGGAAGGGGGAGATAGAAAAGGAGAGAGAAGAAGAAGGATATCATTGTATCAATATTGGATAAAAAATAAAGAAGAGATAGAACCAGAGAGTGAGATCGAGAGGGAGAGACAAAAAAGAAAAAAGAAACGGGGAATGGGAAGGAAGAAGAAAAGAGAAAGGAGAGAAAAGGAAGAAAGAAAGAAAAATGAGAAAAAATAAAGAAGAGATAGAATTAGAGAGTGAGATCGAGAGGGAGAGACAAAAAAGAAAAAAGAAACGGGGAATGGGAAGGAAGAAGAAAAGAAAAAGGAGAGAAAAGGAAGAAAGAAAGAAAAATGAGAAAAAATAAATAAGATATAAGATAAAGATAATTTTAGCCTTTAAAAAATATTAGAATTTTTTTATTTAATAAATTATACATTTTTAGTTGGTTTCTTTGCAGCATTTATTTAGTTTTATTTATTTATTTTAATAAATTATAAATATTTAAATAATTTTTTTAGTTTGACAATTTAATAATCAAAATTAAATTCAATAGAGTCAGCTATCATTTTTTGGGTTTGTTTATAAAAATTAAATGGTGTAGGGTTTATTTATAGTTTTAGTGTTAAGAATGGGTATATGACTAAATATCTCTTTAAATAAAGTGTTTCAACTTAAATATTTTATTTTCCCACTGCCAATAAAACTCTAATCCAACTCATTTTAACTACATAAAAAAGGGCTTAACGTGTTTCGGGAATACTTGGGAGTATGATGCACTGGCACGTGAGGTTTCCGGGGCGTGGCAGCCATCCCTTGGTAAGTCATCACGAATCCAGAATAGGTTCGCAGATGCACAATCTCTGTTCTGGTAGTCTTCATTGGAGTCTCGATCCTATGATTCTTCAACTCATAGTCCCCCAGGACATCTACGCTCATCCTCCAAGGCCTAAAACCAAAAAGGGCAGCCATATCCAAGAGGGTAGGGGTCATTGGACCAGGCCCAAAGGCAAAGGTGTTAGAGGTGATATCCCAATAGCACAAAGTGGCACCCAATAAAGATGCATTCAAGTGGATTTGATGCTTTGCTAACATAATGGCATAGAATATCCCATTATGCATCCATTTATCCTTATACTTGGGAACCATCTCGTCCACCCAACTATTCCAAGGGAGATAATTCTCAATGAGGGGCACTTTAGGGTTCTGACCTAGCCTCTCAAAATTCGTTTTCCAGAAACCCCAGTTTATATCCTCCAGACTGTAAGGAAATGGGGCTCGGACCAACTATGTATCCAAAGCCTATAACTTCTCCGGCTTGGCTTGATGATAGTGTGGGCTTAGAAAAGGAGTCCTAAGAGGATCTCTCATATTTAAGGGAAAGGGAGAGTAAAGAGGATCTCTCATATTTAAGGGAAAGGGAGAGTAAAGTCTTACCCAGCTCCCTGTTTGTTCTTGTGCTAAGGCCATTTGGAATTCCTTAGCGTGTTCTGCAACGCCTCGTCCCGAAATCCAGTGGGTTGCGTCAGCAGAAACCTTAGAAGCTTTCGATTTCTTCGGTGCCATTTTTTTTCTTCAAAAAACGTCATAAGGAAGCTTGAAAAAATTCAGAAATTACATTAAGTTCTTTAGATGAAGTTTTCGCAACAGTTTTCTCAGAAAAAGAAGAAGTAGTTCGAAAAAGGAGAAGTTGAGGGGTTTTGTCCAGTAGGCTGAAATTAATGTCACACGTGGATATGACAGTTGCTTTTGTCAGTTTGGCGCGTTACTTTCAAAAATATTCTTTTTGAGTATGATTTGACACCGCAAAGGATATGAAGGGTTTAGTTTCAATAAACTTTACTCGAGCACATTGAAACTAGGGGGCAATGTTTGTACCATATTTGGAAAATGGGCCAAATGCCAAAGAAGGTTTTATTTCTCAAATAAGATTACATTAAACCCAAGCTTAACCTCTTGCTTTCAGAAATAACGAAAATGGCTTTTTTGGATTTGGGCCAGCAATGGGCAAAACCCTTTTAAAAGCCCATAGTATGAAAGGTTCCAGCTTTGGTCAACACTATTGGGCCTGAATTGGCTAAATCTTGACCCAATCTAGGGTCATCTCGGCTCCAAACTAGGTTTTTGAACCCAATCGAGGGAGCATTAACCACAACATTGGTTTTCTTCTTGTTTGATTAGGTATTGCCCGTATCTATCAAACCAACAACACACGAGTGAAAGAATATTGAAGTCCTCTTGATTGAGGCATAGAAAAGAACTCATCCAAGTCAATACCCCCCCCCCCCTCTTGGAGCACAATGGCTTATCAGAAGTCTAGAACAAGCTCAAATCCATCAAACAGGACCCTACATTACACATACCAGGTCTATTGGGCTGTTCTCATCTCTAATAGCGCCATGCCTACACAACTTACAATTAGGTCAGAAGAAGGAAGTCATCAGGGCCCAGCTCGAGCTCGCCCGCTCTTCTCAACTTGATCCAACTTTCAATTTTACCCAAGGTTGAAGGAGTCTTCTCAAGAGCCAGAAATCCAATCGGGCCATTGGTGTTGACCCAAAAAAAGGGACCAACAGAAATATGTGAGATTGGTAAATCCTAACCTTGTCATAGTCTCAAAGTAACCTCAACCAAATTGGAACTTTAGTTTCTTGATTTGGCCTGCTTGTCAGAATATCGTATTAACTTAGTGAAGCTCTTTTCTTTCATGTGTGCTCTAGGGTTTCTTTTAGGCTTAAGCTTCAAGTTTACCTTATTCGTGCTAGGGGGTGCATTGGATCCAATCCATACTATTTTGATGCGCATGCATCCAATCCGTCCGACTATAATTGGATTTGCCATATTAGAATTCAATCATATCTAATTAAGTATGCAAATCCAATTCAATTCTATAATTGAATTGGATTGGTTGAATCCAACATAAAACATCTATGAAATAAAAACGTGTGAAAAGAAACTAAGCAATCAAGTTCATGCTTCTTCCTTGAAAGCAATAAAAAAATTCATATAGTTCTTGAGTCAAGAACATGATGTCCATGTAAGATTTACATATAACAATGAATTGGAACATAGCTAAACTCACCAGAATTGGAACAAAAATGTAGAAGTAACATGGAAAACAACATTATCAAAGAAAGAAGTAGCATGATAAGAGGCCGTCCACAAAATGAGCAAGGGAAAAAGTAGAGTTGAATGACTATGATTAGGTACATACTATTTTTTTTTTAGTACTAAAGATAGTCTAAACTACATGGGAAGGGAGTTTCTCACACACACCCTAATTTGCACCACGTTAGATTTAAACTCCCTAATTGGAGTATCTGATTGCTTACAAATCAAGTCCATTGTTCTCTCGTTTTATAGGCTCAAGATCTACACTGTTCATTTTGCTAAAATATGAATATGGTTTGAATACTTTAGGTTAATTGTATTCTTCTCCATAAGGAGGTATATATATAGGAGTTTACAAGGAAATAGATACAATAATTAATTAGGAGAATATCTCCTAATTATACAAGGATGTGTCAACTATATAAAACAAGGAAGTAAATCACCTAATTAATTTAGGAAATAAATCTCCTTGATTTAGTAGGTTAACTCACGTCAACACTCCTCCTCAAGTTGGTGCATACATGTCACCAATGCCCAACTTGGTAAGTGAGTCATAAAACACTCGTCCACAGACAGCTTTTGTTAAGACATTCGCTAATTGATCTTCTGATTTTACAAAAGGTAGACAAATGATCTTGTTCTCAATTTTTTCTTTGATGAAATGTTTATCCACCTCAACATGTTTAGTTCGATCATGTTGAACTGGATTATGAGCAATATCGATAGCTGACTTGTTATCACAATGTAACTCCATTGCTTCTCTGGTTTAAAACCCAATTCTATCAAGAGTCCTCTGATCCATAATAATTCACAAACTCCTTGAGCCATTCCTTGATACTCTGCTTCTACACTGGACCAAGAAACCACATTTCATTTTTTACTCCGATGACTCCTCCAACGAATGTAAAGTACCCTGATGTAGAGCGTCTATTTGTAATGGAACCAGCCCAATCAACATCTATATATCCAACAACTTCAAGATTTCCATTCTTTCTGAACATTAATCCATTTCCAAAGGCTAACTTTAAGTATCTTAAGATCCGATCAACTGCATTCCTATGAGAAACACTGGGTGAATGTATAAACTGACTAACCACACTCATAGCACATGCAATATATGATCTTGTGTGTGCCAAATATATCAACCTTCCAACAAGGCATTGGTATCCTTATTGGTTGGCAACCGGTCTATGTCTTTACATAACTTGTCATTCATCTCAATGGGTGTGTCAGCAGGCTTACATCCAAGCATTCCTATTTCAGTGAGTAGATCCATCACATACTTCCTTTGAAACAGAAATATACTAGTTTTTGACCTTGCTACTTCAATTCCGAGGAAGTATTTCAGAGCACCTAAATCCTTCATCTCAAATTCCTGAGACAAATACTTTTGTAGCTTCTGTTGCTCTTCTATGTCATTCCCAGTTACGACCATGTCATCCACATAAACAATTACTGTAGTGATTTTTCCTTCATCACGCTTCAAGAACAGGGTGTGGTCTGAATTACTTTGAGTGTATCCAAAATTCTTCATGGACTTAGTAAATATGCCAAACCAGGCCCTAAGAGTTTGTTTTAACCCATATAATGACTTTCTGAGCTTGCAAATTTGATTTTCTTGTCATGAGCTAAATTACATTATGGTGGTAAATCCATGTATACCAAGTCTCCATATAAGAAGACATTTTAAACATTGAACTAATAGTGTCCAATCAAGATTTGCTGCTAGAGATAGTAGGACTTTGATAATGTTGATCTTGGCTACTAGGGGAAAGGTCTCCTGGAAGTCCACCCCATATCTCTATGTGTACCCATGCGCCACTACTCTAGCTTTATATCTTTTAATGGATCCATCTACTTTGAGTTTCATAGTATAGATCCACCTGCATCCCATCGTCGTCTTTACATGAGGTAAAGGCACGAGCTCCCATGTGGCATTCTTCTGGAGAGCTCCCATTTCTTCATTCATGGCTTCTTTTCATTTCGAGTCTTCTAGTGCTTCAGTCACACTATTGGGGAAAAATATATTAGCCAACTGCTTCACAAAGTGTACATGTAACTCTGATCATTTGCTTAGAGATATATAATTATTGATGAGGTATTTTTCTTTGGCTTTAAGATCTGTTTCGTACTGTACTCGAGGTTTACCTTGGTTCTTCCTTTCTGGAAGTTGGTATATAGAGGTATTTGTACCTTCATGCTTTATAAAATCAAATCATCATGATATATTTCATTAGTGTTATCAGTTTCGGTGGGGAGATGTTACCTGAATGACTTCCTCAGAAGGTGATTGGTGTGGTACTAGAGCTAAAGGTGGGTTCGGAGCACGCAAAATCTCATAAAACAGTTCAACTTTCTCCTCCTGATTTTGGCAGCGTGGAGTCGACCAATCATTTTCCACTAGTGACCGGTCATTTTGACACATAGGCTTAATGTTTGACAAAGGAGGACAAAGCGACTGGTCGTTTTGACACACTAGCTCCGCTTGTGAAAGAATAAAGGAGGGCGCCCAGTCATGTGGGAGAGGCGACCGGTCGCTTTGAGGCAGAGACGCCTTTTGTGCACAGATAAAAGGAGGCGACCAATCGTTTTGGAGGGGCGACCAGTCGCTTCGATACTGAGTCTCTTCCGTTGTGAAAAAGTCTAGATAAGACATGGTGTTTGGCTCTAGATTCTACTCATGTACTTTTGAAAAATATATGTCATGTTCCCGAAAAACTACATCAATGGAGGTATAGACCTTCTAACTTGTAGGGTGATAATATCGGTAGCCTTTCTGATGAGGGGCGTAGCCAAGGAAAACACACTTTTTTGTGCGGGGATCCAATTTGTTGCGTTGGTGATCATGTAAGTGTACGATTACAACACAACCGAAAGTTCTTGGTTCATGGTTTAGGGTGGGAGGTATTTGGAGATGGTGGTGAAGTGTTTGAAGAGGAGTTTGGAAATTCAAGATACTTGAGAGAATCCTATTTATAAGATAAGCTGCAGAAAGGATGACCTCGCCCAAAAAAGAACGAGGCATGTTGGCACCAAATAGAGATGTTCGAACAACTTCCAATAAATGTCGGTTCTTTCTCTCAGCCACCTCATTTTGTTGGGGAGTATATGGACATGAGCGTTGATGTATAATGCCATGATCTTGTACGAATTTTTTGAGATCATGATTAAGAAATTGTCGCCATTGTCACAACGAAGAACCTGGATTTGGGCAGGAATTTGAGTTGCCACCATTTTATGGAACTATTGAAACGTTAAATTGACTTCCCTTTTGGCTTTGAGAAGGGAAACTCAGGTCATTCAGGTGCAGTCATCAATGAAATTGACAAACCATCGAGCTCCAGCCGGAGTAGCGATTTGAGCAGGCCCTCAAACATCAGAATGAATAAGGGAGAAGGAAGCCAAACTTTTATTTATACTTAATGGGAACAGAACATGATGACTCTTAGCCAATTCACACGTATCACATTGGAAGCTGGAAACATCAAAACTAGAAAATAATGATGGAAATAACTTATTCAGATAACCGAATGAGGCATGCCCAAGACGTTTATGCCATAACCAAACCTTGTATCTCTACCTCTCAGAACTAGCTCCACCTATTGTGAAAGCTTGACCAACCTTGGTCTCACTATCCGGTGCCCAGTCCAAATAGTAGAGGTTGCCCCGCCTAGTATCACAACCAATCGTCTTCCCCATAAGAATGTCCTAAAAAACACAATGATTCTACCAAAATGTTATAGAACACCCCAAAGTAGTAATAAGTTGTGCAACAAACAACAAGTTATGGTCCAAGATTGGAACAATCAATACAAAATCCAGATGTATGGAGTTAGAGAGAGATAGAGAGCCCTCAAACACTATCGACTGAGTGGATGGTTTGCGACTAATAAGTTGGCCAGGATCAAATGTCATGTGATCCGTAGCACCTAAGTCAATAATCGATGTGGGCTTTGGAGAGGACGTATGAAAGCAAAACCTTTGGTGGTGGCGATAGAAACACGAACCAGGGTAGCCGATTCAGCATAATTGACAACATGCTTTTGTGAGTCCGGAAGGAGGAAGAGAATTGTAAGGAGTCCTGACATCGCAGCGGAAGTAAGATTTGATATGAGTGCGTGTTTGTGGGTAATAAGTTGATTTGAGAATTTGAGGAATTTGATTTGAGGAATTTTGATTTGAGGAATTTGATGTATGAATTTGATTTGAGAGATATGTGTTTAAGGAGTTTGATAAGATGATTTGATTTGAGTGGTAAGGAGTTTGTTTTAGGGTTTGTGTTTGAATTTGAGGGTATGATGTGAGGGCTTAAAGATAACCTATGATCGATTGCTCTGATACCATGCTAAAATGTGAATATGGTTTGAATACTTTAGATTAATTGTATTTTTTTTAATTGTATTTTTTTCATAAGGAGGTATATATAGGAGTGAGTAATGCTATTTAGACACACAACATTGACCACCTTAGCTGACCACCTTATGTGGCAACTGATGTGTCATGCCATGTCAATTAATGAGTGTTGCCATGAGTCCACTTACTAGGAATGCTAAGGTTTTTTAATTTGTTTTTTAATTGACATGGCGACATTCATTAATTGAGTTGGCATGACACATCAATTTCTACATAAGGTGGTCAGCTAAAGTGGTCAATGGTGTGTGTCTAAATAGCAGCACTCTATAGGAGTTTATAGGGGTGCTTTACAAGGAAATAGATACGGTAATTAATTAGAAGAATAACTCATAATTATACAAGGATGTGTCAACTATATAAAATAAGGAAGTAAATCACCTAATTAACTTACGAAATAAATCTCCTTAATTTAGTTGGTTAATTCACGTCAATACATTTGAAATTTAGAATTCTAGTCCTCCAAATTATATGGCCTTTTAGTTCCAAAGCATTTTTCTTTTCTGTCTTCTTCTTCTGATATGCCTTTCAAACATCAAAATCTTACTGTTTTGGGCCCAAAATTATTGAGAGGCAAAGAAAAACATAAGCAAGCTAAAGTCAAAGCAGCAGGTGTTCTTGTCTGTTCCGAAGATCCACATTAAACCAAAGAGAAGGGAGTGTCCAATATCTAAGTAACTTCGGTAGCTTCGAGCAACCTTCTTTTCTTGCTTTGTTGTTAAAGGAAAACTCTCCTGGAAAAGAAAAAAAACTTACAAAGAAGATGAGAAGATGCTCGGTGGATCTTATAATCATATATACATGTTAAACCTAAAAGGAAAACTACACAACCATTTACAAGATTTCATCTCCATTTGCATTAAGCTTTCTACATACCCCTCCAAAACCCCTTTGCGTATGTCCCTGGAACTTGTTCACCTTTGGCATGGCACAAGGTCAGCAACAACTGCAGCTTCACATCATGGGTAAGGAGCTCACTTTCTCTGTTTTCCCCCTTTGAGTATTAAAATCAGTTATGTCTAGAACTTATCATCATGCTATACTTTACCAACAGATGCAGCTCTCTACTCAAGTATATGCATTAATTCCAATCACTTTTGGAGTTTTAATTCTTGCACAAATCCTTGAAATCAATTGTTTCTCATGAAGCATATCAACAAACTATTGGATTTTAGGTGTATACTAATTCTTCACTTCTGGGCATGGCCTGAATTTTAAGAGTATATGAGAGAAAACTCTCATGCTATACTTTACCAACAGATGCAGCTCTCTACTCAAGTATATGCATTAATTCCAATCACTTTTGGAGTTTTAATTCTTGCACAAATCCTTGAAATCAATTGTTTCTCATGAAGCATATCAACAAATTATTGGATTTTAGGTGTATACTAATTCTTCACTTCTGGGCATGGCCTGAATTTTAAGAGTATATGAGAGAAAACTCTAAGTAGCTACAACCAAAATCCACAATATAACCCAAAGTGAGAGAGAAGCATATGAAAGAAAACTTCGAATGTAACGAAAGACGTTGCAAACTACATTTGGTTGGTACAGTTTACACAATTCTAGAAAGAAATTATTAGAGGCGCTTTAAAAAAGTCATCATGCATTCATCAAAGTGTTATTGACCAAAATATTTATTTGGAGTGCCAATAACAATTTCCGAAACCGTGAACTATGGTGCTAGTCTCAATTTACCTTTAATTTTCTTTTTCAGGAATTGTTATTGACAACCAAAAAAAAAAAATCATTATGCATTCCTCAAAGTGCAATTCCTCTCTTATATCCTTACCATCCTCCAACACCACTTTTTTTTTTTAATACAAAGAGGAGGGGGGTTACACACACTTTGTGCATGCCAATTGATCTAATTTTTTTTTTTTAATTGAGAAATTCTCTTTATTTTCATGGTAATTTGCTGAAACTCAGAAAACTTGTTACTTTTTTAAAATAGAAACTAACACCATTTGGGTTTTTCTTAATGATTTTATATATTTTTTTAATTTAAAAGGTAAGTGTTTAAGGTAGCTGTCTCCTCTTTTTAGTAGGGTTTGGCACAATTTCGAGAACTAACTGACCCGATCACAAGAGGGTTGGGTTGATTTGAGCTGGCCTAATAACAAGCAAGTCTTGAGTCCAATAAATCATAAACCTCTATGTATGGGTTGGGTTGCTGGTTAGGACCAAAACCTAGGTATGGACACAATTTTGAGTGAACCCGATCGAACCGTCCAACCCGATCATAAGAGGGTTGGTCTGGTTTGAGTTCGCCTAATAACGAGCAGGTCTTGGATTCAAGAAATCATAAACCAATTATGTTTGAGTTGGGTTGAGAGTTGAGATCAAAACCAACCCAACCAACCCAACTAACCCATGCCCACCCCTAGTTTTTAGGGATAACTTCCAATGTTTTTATAGATAATTGCAATATATGTTATTTTATTTATATTTTAATTTATTTTAATTTAAATAAATTATGAATGTACTCAATAAAGTGTCTTCTATTTTAGTATTTATATTAACCAAAGGCTTGTGGGGATTTGGAATGTTTCACGGTATATCTATATTTAAAAAAAGCCGCCTTCTATATTTAATATGACATCCTCATTTAATACATTTCTTTCTTTGTTAAAATATTGAATAATTAAGGGTATTTTTTGGGATTTTAAATGTTTCACCAATCATAATGGTCTCATCAATCATCATTGTACAATTTGAATTTCTAGCTGTTGAAGATGACAAAGGGGGAAACTCAAATGAACACACAAGTGTCAACAATGAATCAAAAATCCCTCAAGGCAGAAAATTCAAGTGGTGGTTTCTTATAGCCACCTATATATTCTTTGCCCTCTCTGGCCAGTCAGCAGGAACACTTTTGGGAAGACTATACTTTGAAAAAGGTGGAAAGAGCAAATGGATAGGAGCACTTGTTCAACTTGTAGGGTTTCCAATCCTCCTTCCTTTCTATTTTTTCTTAAAATCCAAGAAAATTAATCCCACCACAAAAGGACCATCTGTATTAATCCTTGCACTGGTCTGTGTGACCCTTGGCCTACTCATAACAGGAAGCTGTTTCTTGACTTCATTTGGGCTTTTATATCTTCCTGTTTCTACTTTCTCACTCATCTGTGCCTCCCAATTGGGATTTACAGCCCTCTTCTCCTTCTTTCTCAACTCCCAAAAGTTCACTCCATTTATCATCAATTCTATAGTTCTTGTCACCATCTCCTCCACTCTTCTTGTTTTTCAAGCTAATGACAACTCGGAAGGTACTTCTAATACAGGAAGAGTCTCTCAAGGGAAGTATGCAGCTGGATTCATATGCACTGTTGGTGCTTCTGCCGGGACCGGATTATCGCTTGCCTTGACACAGTTTGCCTTCAACAAGGTCATCAGAAAGAAAACATACATAGTTGTCATGGACGTGATAATCTATGAATCATTGGTAGCAACATGTGCTGCCTTGGTTGGACTTTTTGCAAGTGGAGAGTGGAAGGGCCTAAAGAGAGAGATGGATGAGTTTGAAATAGGGAAGGCTTCTTATGTTATGATCTTGGTTTGGACAAGTATTGCTTGGCAGGTTTTTGTGATTGGTGCGGTTGGGTTGATTTTTGAGGTGTCATCTCTGTTCTCCAATGTCATAAGTGCTCTGGGTTTGCCTGTCATTCAAGTTTTGGCTGTGATTGTTTTCCATGACAGGATGCATGGCTTGAAGGTGATAGCAATAGTCGTGGCTCTTTGGGGTTTCGTTTCCTATGTCTATCAGCACTACCTTGACGATCGTCGTAAGTCGGAGACTGAAGATCCAAATGCAAGTGAAGCTCCTAAAGAATCAGTGCTGCTGGGAAGAGCTTAATTGAGGAAGAAAGTTGCATTAGTGCTTTCTGGTGGGAAAGAAAAATATATCATGCTACTTATCTTTTTTTTAAAATTTTAATGTGCATGAATTTCCTTTAAATCCCTTGTTTAGGTAACCAGATTTTTATATTTTAGGTGATTAGAGACAAAACCAGACATTGCATTCTGCTTGATGAATGAACGAATTCATGTCGATAAATTTGATGCTAAAAGAGAAATTTGGTATTTCATAATACTACGATAGTACGGCCACAAGGTACATTTTATACACGTATTATAATATCAGCGCATGTTTATTGATACTATTCCTTAAAAGGGGGGAAAATAAACTTTGTTGTCCACTCATATTATAACACTCGTACAAGATATACCATGTGGTCGTACTACTGTAGTATTCTATAATTTCTCCAAAATAAGGACCTTACATACGAATAATTCTCATACAAAAAGAAAAACATGTTGGTTGAGGAGTCATGGAATTGAGAAATCAAATCAAATAAATACAAAATTTAGTCTGTCCTAATTAACTTACCTTTTAAAAATAATTGAACGTATTTTTTGGACTAGTAACAATCCACCAGATACATGAGCTGAAAACCTTGCATGCATAATTAGGTGCACAGGGGACATTTATGCTTACTGGCCAAGGCAAGCAATCTAGATTTTGGGTCCTCTAAGATAAAACTATAAAAATTTGGAAAACTTTGATATGCATCTTCAAGCATTGATCTGTTTTACATGGTTAGTAAGGCATGACACCATGGGCTGTGGAAGGAACCATTTTATATATGTTTCCAAAGAGTTCCATTTACAACCCCAAAAGTGAGCCTACCCTCTGTAAGAAGGGCCCTCCCAAATTACTCATTGAGGTGTGGCTGATTTACCTGGCAAAGATCTCGGGTGGCATACGAAAAGGCAGCACATTTTTTTTTGGACGAAAAGGCAGCACATTCAACTGTGAAAGAGTCAGAAACACACCAAGTAAACAAGGCCACAGCGAGACATGAGCAAATGTTACAATTTAGCAGCTCAATGCATAAGCTTTGCAAAAACAGTCAAATAAGATTATGTATATCTATTGCTTAAGTTTATCTGATGCTTAAGAAAGACCCCTCCATAATTCCAACCACACCGAACCAATATCGCCTATGCTCATGAAAAGAACCCCAGGCCTGGTGGAGGTTTCAATGAATACTCTATTTATTCTAAAATAACCACTCTTTGAGAAGGTTGTGGAGCACTTTTGGCTGCCTTCTCCGAAGCATTGGCAAGGCCCTGTAACATTCTAAGAATCTCAGTTGTGTCTTCCAAGTAGTACTTGGCCTTACTGGGTTTCTGGCCGACAGTGCAAGCAAACACTTCAGCCACCGGGGAGAGAGAGTCCCTTGCACTCATTATTACCTCGAACATGTCTTCATCAGACCTGTCATCTCCAATACAGAGAACAAAATCTGGAAGCATTGTTTTCTGTTTCTTTGTTAAGAGGAGACGTTCCGCTACAAGGCCTTTGTTGACACCCTATGGAATGGTAAGACAACAAGTGAAACTTTTAATATTGGGGATAAGCTTCAGCGTGAAAGATAAATATTATCACAAATTCACAAGCTCAGAAAGAGTTTGCATAATTTTTTTTTTTCATGCTTCAAAATCTTAAAAGCAAATATCACAAACAACATAGTGACCCCTAAAATATATAGGGGAATCATAAAGAGTGAACAGAAAATTCAATATCCATACTAGACCAATCACTGAACTGCACAATCAACCTTATTTAAATTTTATTATTTAAGCAGTCATGAATCATGATGAGCCTAATAATAAGTTTTTTCAATTCTAAACAGTCCAATAAATGAGAATCACCATGAGACATTTTCTTCCTTGAGATGAATGAAAAACCTAATGTGGGAAAACCTGAAGAACCAAAGATAGGTTTTCCTCCTCAACAGTCAAATAAAGCTCGACGACTATGGAGGTTTAAGAGCATTTATTTCTCAAATTGCCACCTTCTTCAGGTTATGCTCAATAATACCATTTGAATCCTCTTGAATTCTACCAACTCAATTGGCTTAGGTTAGTTGATGCTCTCTCAAATTTGTTCGACATGTTAAATGGGGTAGAACTCATCCTTAAAATTGGTTCTAAGGGAAAGCAAAGGGTGGCCATGCATTTCTTTCCAAAGGGCGGCCATGTGTTTAAACATTACATATCCCAAAAGATATCTAGGGGATGTGTGACCTTAGTAACACTCCCCTTCAGCACCGGGGTTGGAGACACATTGTTCTCCACCCCACGTAGGGCAAGAAATACTAACTTGACCCATCCGTATGGTACACCTGCTATGAAACTATGTTACACCCAGTGTTTCCCATCATGACACTGGCGGAGAGTGTTAGCATAGTCCCACATCGCTTTAGTACCTTTTGGGATATGCCATGTATAAACACATGAGCAGCCTTTCCTTGAAAGCCGGTTTTTAAGGATGAATTGTAACCATAGGCTTAACATGGTAACAAAGCACAGGTATACTACAAGCAACGGTTTGTATCTCCTACCCTGTTTGGAGGAAGAGAGCGGAATGTCTCCAGTGCTGGCGCTGAGAGGGAGTGTTAGCATAGTCACACATTGATTGGGTACCTCTCGTATATACGATATATAAAAAAATAGGTGCCTTTTCCTTGAAATGTTTAATTTCTTATAGGTAATGCAGGTCCCTACAGAACATAATTATTTGCACATTGGGATTTCTTCTAGGATAAGATATGTGACAGGGCTTAACTTTTTTGTACTTAGTGTTTGCCATAAAAAGCTAGCCCTAAACGTTCTGGATTACTTAGAACATGTTAAACGCCACAGAAGCCAAGACAATGGCAATGGATAGCAAGAACTCATTTAATTTATATCTGTTCCTAAAGTTAGGAATGTCTCTAAAGTTGGCAGTGGAAAGGAGAAAAAGAGCCACTAACCTGAGGTTTAACTTCGACAATGTGCTGGCCACTCTTGACAGAAACTGGCTCGTTGGCAAGAACACTTTCCAGGTGATCCAGAAGCTCCTTAGCCTGACAGAAGCCAAAATCCGGATCCGCATATTGGTAATTCCAAACAAGAGCACTTTCTTTGGTCTCTATCGTAGAACCATCAGTTGTTTCAGTGTATAACTGCATTACTGGTTCAGCAATCTGTTTCCAATCAAAATCTGGAATGGAGACACAAGTTTCCCATTCGGCATTATGATTTGACCTGAAAAGAAGATAGCACTAAACTTAAATCACACCCCAAATAGACAAATGAATATTCAGACATGTTTCTCCTTTCAAAACTCTACAAAAAGAAACTGCATCACAATGTTGGATACTGTGACAATTTTTTTTTTTTGGGTCAATTACTGATTCTGAAGGTTGCACTTTAGTACTCTTCACAAAAGCAAGAAGAAAGGCCTAACAGTTAGTACTGGAGGCAGAAGAAATGCCGAATTGACTACCATTTGCATTCCGAAAAAATAAAAATAAATAAATTCAGCATAGAAAGCAGCACAAGTCTATTATTGAGAGCAGAGCATGATAAGCCAAGAAAGCATGTGAGAATGAATCAATTGGGCTCCACTGTCGATCTCTGTACCATAAAGATTATAGTTTTATCAACTGTCATATAATAATTAGAAATTTTCATGTTCCAGTTTTAAGGGGTATCTGGATATCATGTAAATTGAACCCGTCGAACTAGGGTTCTTTTCCTATTTTAGGTAAATAATTCAACACATGCAATAGCTATCCTAATTTAACGTGTTCCTTTTTCACCCTTCTATTTTGTGCAAGACACTTATTTATCATTTGAAATCTAAATTTTAATTGTCTACAGAAGCTGTTAGAAAACTAAACAAGTGAGATTGCACAGTTCATCAGTTCTTCGTACAACTAGAAACAGGACTTGCCGGTCCCTTTTGGAAAAAAAAATGAGCCAGATCCAAGCCTAGTTCAATATCAATATGCTTACAGTAATTAATAATTCCATTTTGCAAGGAGAAAGCTACCAACGGTTACATACTGGGAAAATGTTTCACTGATGTTTTAAGAATAGTCAAACAAAATGGAGAGTACACTATAAACAAGTTTATATTTTCTGCTCCACTTCTTTACCTTTTTTGAACTTGTCCAAGTCAACAACCAGAACTTAGTTTCTGATAGAAGATGACTAACTAAGGTTGCATGCATAAGTGTACAGGACAGCCCTAACAACTGGCATAGGCAGTCAACCAGAAAGAAAGGAAAAAATATCTAAAGGGTGAGCTATATTAGTAAGTGAGTGCCTTTTTTTCTCTTTTTCATCTTTTTTTCCATCTTACGCTCTTTTTCTTCTTCCCCTTTCTTTTCGTACCTTGTCTATGTCTCATTTATAACAAGGAACAACATGTTTATCCCCTCTAGTTTAGACTATGGCTTGTACTCAAAAGGAACAACATGTGCAAGGCCATAGAGCCCCTTAATGGGGAAGCAAGGGGGGAGTAGGGGCAATAACAACAACAAAGAGGAACGTACCTCACAAAATAACCATGCTCTGCTGCGATCCCGAGCTTTGCACAAGAAGAAAACCATTCAGTTAAAGTCTTTCTGTCTTTCCCACTAACAAGAAAGACAACGTTCCTTGGATCATTGCACAAATTGTTCAAGATTCCAACAGCCTCTGTATTAGGAGTGGTAATAATCGAACCCGGCAGCATCATAGCACCATCATAATCCAAAAGAATTGCTCGATTTTTGGTCCTCTTATAAGCTGAAACAATATGTTCAACTGAGAGCTTTCTGAAATTTGGATCCAAAGCAATCACCCTGAATCCTAACCCAAAACCAATTCCCCAGCACCTCCTCCTCATATGGTCCCTACATGCCCTTTCAAGATCCTGCAAGAAGCTACGCGCCCAATATGCAACATCATGTGTAGTAACATACCTATAATGCTTCTCGTGCCGCAACTGTTTTTCTGCCTCAGGGACCATAAGGGCAGAGTCCATAGCTTCAGCAACAGCATCAATGTTCCACGGGTTAACTCTAATTGCTCCGCTTAGTGATGGAGAGCACCCAATAAACTCAGATACCACTAGCATGCTTTTCTTGGGGGCTGTTGGGTTTAGTCCTAAAGTCTCATCTAGCTTCTCATTTCCTTGGCGGCATATTATATACTCATAGGGTATAA